TGCCCAGCCAGTCGTTGTCAGAGATGCAGATGTAGTCCACGTCTTTAAAGAAAGTGTCCTTTCTAGAAAACACAAGATCATCCAGACCCTCAGATCCAGATTCTTCCATCCCCTCGAAGCAGAATTTGATGTTGATGGGAAGGTCCTGCAACAAGAAGAGAGATGCATAAGAAAAAAGGCTCATTTTCTAGAGTTGAAATAATCTTTTAACAACCAACAATCTGCCCATCAGTGGTGTACTTTAACACAGCGGTCCCCAACCTTTTTTGCGCCACGGATCAGTTTGTGCCCGACAATATTTTCACTGACCGGCCTTTAAGGTGTCGCGGATAAATACAACAAAATAAAACTAGTACCGGTACCGAAAAAAAGATCTATTCATAACACACGTGAAAAGACCCAGGAAAACAGAGTTAATGGAAAAAAAAAAAACGATAACAACCCTGAAAACCATACATTTCGCACCAGAGTCTCAACTCTCGCGGCTCAGTACCGGTCCGTGGCGCGGGGGTTGGGGACCGCTGCTTTAACGCACAAATAGAATAGAATAGAATAGCACTTTATTGTCATTGTACATGTACAATGAATTTGTGGGTGCTCCACTGAATAAATGTAAATAGTAGACAGCAGGAATGCATGTTTTACATTTCTCAAAATGAGCTAACAAAGCTGAATATGAGTCCAGACTAAGGATTTAATTGATGATCTTAGGTGTGATATTTTTTATATAGATAAAAATAAATACTGTACATTCACCAGCTGGGATTTACTTTCTCTGACTAAACACCCATTAATGAAATTCCTAACTAAGGATATACTCTAATTTTATAGCTAGATAAGGTCACATTTTTGTAAATAGGCTAAAATTATATTTTTAAAATAGTACAAATGACCTGCATATCTTTTTAGAATACAGTGCTGTATAGTAGCTATTCTGCTTTATCATCACTGTACAAAAAAAGAAAAAGAAAAACATTAATGACATTTTAGTATCAGTGCACATTTACAGATTCTGAAATATACCATCACACCTCAATATACTCCTGTCAGTAATTTCACTTCAGTGTTTAAACACAGCCAACTTAGCATGTTAAGCCACTTCAGGGTTGTTTTAGGACACACTAAAATTTCATATCATCTTTAAACTATCTGAACTTGAAACACCTTTTGTTGGCCAGCTTAAATCTGGCAGTAACTGTACCTTTCCGATCTTCTGATACGCTT